TGTGTGTGTGTGTGTGTGTGTGTGTGTGTGTGTGTGTGTGTGTGTGTTACTCATGTTGTGGGGACATAAATCAGTTTACACGTCACATTGTGGTGGTTAAAGGTTTGGCTAAAGGTTAGGATTAAGCTAGTAGCAGTTCAATTAAATTAAATTAAATTGTATTTATGTAGCCTATACCACAAATCAAAAATTTGGGGTTTTACAATCTGTGTTATGACCTCTGTTGGACCCCTCGCATTGGAAAATTAAAAACTCCCCAAAAGAACTTTAACAGGGACAAAAAGGGAAACAAACTCAAGGAGAGCAGCAGAGGAGGGATCCGTCTCCCAGGATGGACAAAAGTCCAATAGATGTCATGTGTGTCAGAACAAACAACATAATAGAATTCCAACATAGTCAATCCATATGATAGAAATAATACATATAATGAGTGCAGTAATAGCAGTGGTAGCACTAATAATTGCAATTTACTATTGTGAGGACATACATTTTTTTATAGTCACATTGTGGAGACTCGCCTTTTCTTTTGGGGAAAAATGCACGTCTTCATAACGGAAATCAGTAGATTTTAAGGTAGAGACTTAGTTTAAGCAAGTAGTCGTTATCGTTAGAGTTAGGATTAGTCTCCAGGAAATTAATGTAAGTCAATTTAATGTTCCCACAAGGGATGAAAACACTGTTCTCAGGGGGCCAGATGGCCTCGCTCCGTCTGCTTCGCTAGTTTGAAGTGGCCCAGATATTTATGCTTCTGCACCAGTTAGTCCACCGCAAATGTAAATCAAATCACTCGTGTGTCATGTTAACATTTAACATGAGCTAATACTACCAGTTGTGGCTGCTGTGTTGCAGGACACATTCCTTCATACAGGTACTCTGCTCAAAGAGAGAAGCAGAGAGATGCATTTATCTTAGACTCACATTTGCAACAGTTTAGCTGATTATTTACACAGCTCTTCATCACGAAGCCTCGTTACAGAAAACATTTGGGTTCCCATATTTAACATGTTTGGGCAGTAAAATATGTAATTTGGGAATCTGTGTGAAGGATTACAGATTAAACGCAGCAGGGAGAAGCACAGAGCAAAAACATGTTCCATGTGGGTGTGATCTGAGTGTGTGTGTGTGTGTCGTGTGCACACTGCGACTGTGCTCCCAGCCTGCTGGAGTGACTCATCTCTGCAGCACACTGCAGTATCTGGGTCCCTCACATACACACGGTCTGATCTAGTCCCCATATATAAACTATACATACAGCACAAACACAGTTCCAGGTGTTTTTTGTTACTGCTGCCTTTTGACCTATTTCAGTTCAACCTGCTGTTTTTCTGTCCTCAAGGTCGAGTGCAACTCCAAGCTGGACCCGACCAACACCACCTTCCTAAAGGTATCTGTGTGTCCTCATCTCACCCACAGCTACTCCATCATTAGACAAAAAGTCTGAGTTGTTGTGGAAACACTACTTCAATGAACCTTTTTTTTTTACATACACAAAATAATGAAATTAACTACATACACTGCATATCTGTGTGATTGCTTAAACACTCACAAATTCATCTATTCAGACAGAAACATTTTATATAATGAAAAAAAGTCTAAAGACACATCTGTGACTGAACCTGTGGGACTTAATGTGACGATAAATCCTCAGCAGGACAGTGGATGCACTTCCTGTGATTGAATGGATCGAATGGAAGCAGCAGCTGCACTTGTATTTCTGCAACAACAACAATCTAACGAGACAAACATTTCAGTTTAGTTATTTCATTTTAATTTGATTTGCACATGGCATATACAACACCATGAAACCAGATAACAGAAGCAAGACAGATGTGTCAGAAGAGGTCAAGACACCATAAACATATACAGTCAACAGTCAGCCCTGTCTCTTTAAAATGATGTTCCCATACCACGAAACTGCATTATGAATTAGTTAGCGAGGGAAACATATTTTGTCGTAGCTTACGTATGTTTTTTGAGGCATCACAACTAAATTTCAAATGAGTCCGCAGAAACATCAAGAGAGGGTCGGGGGTGGAGGATAGGTAAACAAACAGGGCCTTCACTAGCAGACTGCTGATCACCTCTCATATGAACCAAGTACGTTTGTTGCTTAAACATAAGCAAGTAGTTGTTTTGTTTAGTTTCAATTCACAACATTATTAACCACATGTTTCAAACTGCGACTGTAATCCGGGAGATAGATCTGTCTCCCTTGAAACGAAATTGAGAGAGTATATAAATACTGGAAAGTCATCAAAATGATCAATCCATAGAGAAATGCACACGGTTACAAGGTTTATTTATTGTCATTGTACAACAGGGTTGCACAACAAAGTGCAGTTTGTAGTCCCACCACATAAAAATAAATCTTGTGTCATATGTGGAGGGTGGAGGATGACTTACGTCTCACAGGCTGAGGAAAGAAGCTGCTCTGAAGTCCGGTGGGACGGTATCCTCTGTGTTCTTTGCAGGCGCCTCTTGTCAATATCACAGCCCATATTCAGAAACTGTGAAGCACTGAGACACGCTTTATAATAAAAAAAGAAATGAAAATCTCACTTTATAAAATATAGGACCTTTAAAAAGAAATTAGGATACAAAACACAATTTATATATAGACAATAAATGGCAACAAGGGAATTCGGCACCAGTCAGCTGACAACAATCAATGGATTATATTAATAAAAGTCATGCATTGGGCCAAAGGAAAAAAAAAATCTGTATTCACAAGTAACATGTTGCATCCAGCACAAGATGAGCGGTTGCAGATGTCAAGCATAATCTCAAAAGCGAGTCTTATTTTGGGGCATTTTACCTTCATGTCACAGTAGAGAGAAGGTCGACGAACTAGAATGGTCTCAAGCTAGACTCAAACTGGAAACGTTGCAATTACATTGTCCCCTCAAACACCTGGGACACTAGGACACCCAATCTTGTAACCTTCAAATATAACAATTATACAACTAACTTGTACAAAACAGAATTTACACCAAATTTGATGCAATAACAGGAAAAAAACTACTTGAGATACTGTTGCTAGCAGAACAGAGGCAAAACAAAGAAAGACGGCGCACAATGGCTGCATCTAGTTGTTTGTAGTTGTTTGTGTAGCAGCTTGGTAAATTGCTTCTCTCCTCTCTTGGTAGATGGCTGACTCTGGTGGACTTCCCCAGCTCACACAGGTAGTAACACTCAAACAAAAGATCTTGCACAATCAACAGGCTGTCATACAAATCAAATTAAATAAAAAAAGAAATCTGACAGACCGTATTTGACATTGTTCAGTGAAAAGAAAACTCTGACGTGTTTTGTTTTCCAGCCTGGGAAGCTGACCGAAGCCTTCAAGTATTTCCTGCAGGGAATGGGCTACAGTAAGTATACAGAAAAAATAAGTGTCTATGTGTCTTTGCCCTTGCAGTAATTTCATCTAAAAAGTTATATATCAGCAGAAGTGTTATCGTAGTAATGTGTGAGTGACTGATGTATTTCATGCAGAGGGACATGAGCTGTGTTAATCTTGCCCTCTGTCTCCCTTGCCCCGTTCTCTCAGTCGCTTATGTGAAGGATCGGAGGTTGAGTGAAGGGCCAGGTACTTCCCCCTCCCCCTTCACCTCTGACCTCTTACTGCTGCCCTGTTGGATTACCATTATGAAATTTTATTTTGATTTCAATTGGTTATTAATACAATATTTTGGGCTGTTATGAAATGTTTACGTGTACTTTTATTTATTTATTTTTTATCAACGGTAACATTAATACGGAAGCCCTGAGAGGCAAGTGAGAAAACTAAATTATGGAGATCCATTTTCTAAGTTTGATCTAAATTCTTTTCTTTCTTAAGTTTAGAACTTTAAGAATGTGTGAAAAGCTTTTGCCAGGTGAAAGAAGGTCAGAAATTGTAATACTAATTTTAGCCACAATATGTTCTTAGTAGGACTAAAAGCATTAATGTTTTCTGTCAGGTGAGTTGTAATTCACACAACTTGCTAACAGATAATATATATTTGTACCTTTTCTTTGGAATGCATGCAGAAATTAAAACTCACTTGGAAGAAAACATGAATGCTTTTAGTCCTATTTAGAACATGGGGCAGTGGTGCACTTCAGCCTCTTGTAGCCGGAATGAGTATTACAACTATTTTCACCTGCTAAAACTGGGTTTTCACCTGTTGTCAAAAATCAAAAAAGAATTGAGAACCTTTCCCCACCGGTTTTGTAGATGGAAAAAAGCAAAGATGAAGAACTTCGAAAGATTATCCTTTTTTTCACCAGTTCTTCTCTAGATCAGACTTTAAAAATGGATCCACAGAATCATTTTTTTTCTAACTTTCCTCTCAGGGCTTCCGTACAATATACCCCATCATTGTTTTATCAAAGATATTTTTTCCTCCCACGGAAAAAAATATACTGCCCTTACCCCCCCCTCCACCCCCCATTCCTTTGCCATTGCATCTCCAGTCCTGCTCTTTGCATGGCCTTCTGCTAGCTTTGAGCACAGCCTCTTGGACTATGTTTGTGACAAATAACCATGTCTTTAAATGATTACCAACATTGGACACTAATAGTTTGTAAATGTGAAATGTATCTGGGAGATCTTACCTCCAATTCATACATTCAAATAAAAAAACATTTACCTTATCTGAAGACACCAATTCATATTTTCTAAACACTATCAGAGTGAAAACACATGATTGACCATTCAGCCGCTTAAGAGCCTGATATTTTTCTTCGGAGGTGGTGGAGACCAAAAACAGAGCTCAAGGGAACGTTAGTTTTGGACTTGGATTTAACAGTTGGCCTTAGAAACATGACTCCATTTTATTGCATGAATCCTACAGATTCTTTTTTTCAGACTCATTCTGATTTGGGTAAGACTCAAGCTTAACATATTCAGACACTGGATAAACACAAAGAGCTTGACCGGTCATTCTTGACCATGGACACAGCAGCTAACAACATAATCTAATTAATTACAAGTAAAAAATAATTTCATCATTATAATACAGTTCTACTAGGAGAACTGAGCTTCATATAACACAAAGTGCATGGTGCTTCCAATGTGCGTCTGTCACACACACTGACAGCTCCAACCAATCAGGGCTGCCGGTCAGCTGCCTGTTCTCACCAGCTACAAAATGATATTCTTCAGTTGTCAACATTAGCATGCACTCTTAACATCTCCACAATATTAACTGATCACATTTTTTTCAAAATGTAATGCTTAAATTATTTCCCCTTCCTCCCAGTGCCCTCCGCCAGCATGACTCGCCTGGCTCGTTCCAGGACGGCCTCCCTGACCAGCGCCGGCTCCATAGACGGGTCCCGCTCTCGGGCCTGCACCCATTCCGACAGCACCGAGGGAGTTGGCACCATCACCCACACCATGGAGGTGTCCTGCTAAAGGGTCGGCCAGCCATTGAGAGAGAGAGAGAGAGAGAGAGAGAGAGAGAGAGAGAGAGAGAGAGGACGGATGGGGTGTTGGAAAGATGGAAAGGATGAGGAGAATGTGAAGTCAGACGTTGTAGATAGAACGAAACAGGAAGGTGGAGACAGCTCTCTCTGTCTCCATCTATCTCCTTCAGATCCCTTTGTCTGTCATCTCCCCTCCACTGTAAGATACCATACGTGTTGCTACTAATACCCCTAACCACACCTTGAAATAGCCATCTCAACCTCACCCCCATCGCCCAGCACTGAAAGATTTAGGCAACTGATTTTGTTCTTGAAGTGTCATTTTTGTGTTAGCTAATTGTATCCTCATTCTTTGCCTGCAAGCCCCCCCCTCCACACAAAAAAGAAGTAACCCTTTCTGTCACCAGTCCAAAACAGCAATATATGAAATGAGCTGCTGTTAATAATGTTATTTGGAAATCTGTTAGAGAAGGTTAAAGTGCTTTTCTGTGGTACCTTAATGAAAAAGTGTTATGCATCAGTATATTTTGGGAGCGTTTTTTTGTTGTTGTTGTAGTATGGACAAATTGTGAGGATCTCTCTCTCTGTGTCGTTTGTAAGAGCTGGTTATTTCTCTCCATGAGGAGAACGGTAAGTGTCAGAGGATGCGCGTCCAGAGTTTGACAGACAACAGAACACAGCCTATCGTAGACGAGTGCACCTGTTGCTTAGAGAGGATTTGTTAGGTTTTGTTTTGTTTAAGAGCATAGCTAGAGCACACCACACGGATTTAAAGCTGCACTCAGTGAGATTTTATGTCAAACTTGTAAAGTACTCTTAGAGTGCGAAAAAGTGATATCGTCAGCATACATGCGCATCAGGCAAGCGCTAACCTCCTCTGCTGAGAAATGAAGCCATCGCAGAAGTGACAGAAACTGCAGTTCCTCAAATGGCCACTTGAGGCGAGTCAATCCCTGTAGACCTCCATTTTAAAATGGCCAACACCACAGCAGAAATAAACATGTTACAATCCTGGTCCAAAAAACAGTTTTGGTCTTTAAAGCGTATTATTTGTTTATGACAGCTGTAGGGCGGTGAATTTTTATAAAAGTCTCCCATTTTAATTATATTAAGGCTTAAACTTATGTGTAATTAAGTGTCTTTGGTCGCTTCGGAAAACTATGGTTGACGTCACGGAGACTACGTACATATTTTACACATGGTTTCAAGCCACCAGTCGTTAAGCGCACTGAGGCATGAGAAATGAATGATATTAATACATCAAATGTAACAATTGTTGCAGCAAACTTACTATGAATCACTTGATCAGTAAGCAACTCAGAGGTGGAATTGGACTTGTATTTCCAGACTTCAATCACTCACTTTTTAATCACTTTCCAAAGAGAGAAAGCTCAATTCCATTAGGCGTGATGCTGTTTGGAGCATCAGAAACAGGCTAGGCTGGTAAAAATCACATTAGTGCAATGTTGCTGAGTGCAGCTTTAACCTGTGTCATCTCACATTTCTAACCAAATGAATATATAGTATTTATTAACATGTATATGCATGTGAATGTGAACGTTATCTTAGGGCATTCTAGTATCCAAGTAGTATTTAGTAGAATCACACTCTGACCCAAACCAAACTAGCCCAGGGGGGACCGAGGCAGGACCAGGCCGACCCAACAAACTCTTTTCTAGGGTCACCGCCAAACAACTGGCAGCAGCCTTCCCTTACAGTGCCCAGCCCCTCTCCGCGGATATACCAAAGCCCCCTGGTTTCATGGCTTGGTAATGTACAGTCTTCATGTACCATATTCACCTTCTCCTGTTTCCAGTTTTACAAAGAAAAACCTTTGGTCCCCTCACACAAGGGGCGTAGCTTCCAATTGCTGAGGTGTGCGCTTCCCTGAGGTGGCCTGTAAGGGGCGGGGCTTTTTTGGAGCCATTTGTGCGCCAAGCTCGGAATGTAGGCAACCCGCAGCCACCTTAAAGAAAAAAAAAAACCTTACCCCTAAAACAATCACAAGGTGCCCCGGCTCTCACAGGCAAACCTAGTCGCACCCTAAAGGGCTATCAGCTGAAGTCACTTTTTAAAATGTTGGTAGTGTTAGTTGTGTTTCTGAGCACCAGGGGGCCCGAGAGACCAGCAGATAGAATTTTATTATTGTATTTTAAAGCAAAGAAGACGAAAAGGTATTTTTACCGAAACATGGAGAGAGATTCTGACCTGAAAAAATAGTGAGTGAATGAATGTTAAAAGTAGAAAGAATGGGATTTCTGATGAAGCTAGAGAGATTATTGTTGAATTTAATTTTGAAAAAAAGGAGAAATTGGGTGACGATATTAGACAGCCAGATCGGACACCTCAGTTACTCTCAGAACCTCATGGGTGAATTTCATGACCACTGAAGTTTGCATGTTCACCTCTCAGCGTTTTCTCTCTTTACGAAGCTATTTTCTGCCATATACCGTACACTTAGGTTTCCTCCCACACGACTTCGACCCAAACTGCCCGGGGGGGATCCTGTATGTATTTTGTCCTTCATCGAAGTGCTGTACAGTATTGTCAACCCGCACCTCTCAGAACCCCTCACTATGGTTTGCACTTCTATCCCTGCCCCGCGTCTTTGATGTTTAACCCTGAACATAAAAACCAAGCTCCTTCCTACTATTCCTCAAGTCTACAAATAGTGAAGTTCGGTAGCAATGTGTAGAAATCAATAGCTCCTGTGAGCTGGCGCTCAATCAGTTTGTGTAGACCTTGGTCCTCCTTGCACTTGTAGATACTTTTCCTTTATAGAGCAGGTTACCCAAAGCGAACACTCTTAACACACAACTTAAACATGTTTCTGTTCCTCTTCCCCTGGAGTTTCTTTTTTTATAGGTAACAATAGGGTGTAACCTCATCTTGATATAATGATATTGTTTCATGTGTACTACTACTACTCTTCTTCTTCATACTGCCATTTGTATTGAGCAATAAGTTCTTTTTTTCTCGTTTGGTTGTTTCATATTATGGGGTCTTCCCCATGAGCTTGTTTCTATTCACAACAGTAGGACAGTAGAAGGACTCTTACCTACTTTGCTGTCATTCAAATGTGTAATCAATATATTATATACAAATAAATATAAAAAAGCTGTCTCTGTCCATGTAATGATCAAGTAACAAGTATGAAATAAAGACTTTATGTCAGAAGTTATTGGTTGTCTGATCATTTTCAGTTATGTTGACACGCATTTTCAATATATGGTGAGCAGCTCTCACCTCTTTCCCTTTATGTATATCTATAAATTATGTTATTTGATAGACAGATGCCACCCCTCGACGAGAGCAATGCTACATACATTAGAGAACTTCAAACTGTTTTTAAAAAAATTTATTATTGTGATTTAACGTCATATTAACATTTCTTCTTCACCTCCTGCAGATGAATTGTTTCTGGAAAGTCCTACTGTAATGTTTCCACACTCTAGGTACATACATCAATCAGCTACAGATAGAACTACTGTAATTCTTGCAATAAAAATGTACATTATGCCTAATTTATCATGTAGCTTTACCATGTAAACCACTCATAGCACAGGTGATTTCCTACCCCCTCAATGCTTTCACTTCTGGTTCGGTGCATTTCTTTTCATTCTTGGGTTTAGCACCAGTAGCATTGTACACAATGACAGATATTTGGGAACATTCAGCCACACAGCCAGCAGCTCCCCGAAGCTCCAAAAAACTTTGTTGTAAATTTCCAAATAACCATTATTTTGATAAACTGATCATATATTGGGAATCTACATGGTTATGTTCATGGAATTATTTATTTAAACAGTTATTTTGGCAAGTAAAGCCAAGTAAAGTAAAAGGAAGTAAGATTATAAACAGACCCAATGTGCCCTAGTTAAGACAAAGAATAAGGTGAATTAAAGAGTCGCCTATATTTTTCCGTGCAAGTCACTATTACTGCATACCATTATTAAGATATACATTTTATGGAAAAAGTTGTCAATATTATCCATTTACCCAAACAAAACCTTATAGGAGACCATGTAGGAGTCACAGTAGGCATGTAGCATCTGGTCCACAGGGCTATAGTTCAGGGACTGAATGTTGGGAGACATCTTGCTGATGAAGACACCAACATTGAACCTCTCCTCCCTCGTTGTGGTGTCAAATGAATAGAAGATCTCCTCAACTTCTTTGTTGACGTACCGTGTCGCATAGAGCACGCCGCAGGCCATGAAGGTGTTAGTAACCCCCTGCTTGTAGATGGAGGTGCGCCAGGTTTGGCCGAGTCTCAGCGGCTCGCCCTCCTCCACCTTGGACAGCACCAGATTGCCAAAGTCTTGCGTGGTGGTATAGATCACCCAGACGCCTGACTCATCTGTCGCCAGGTCCAGGTCGGTGAACGGGTAGCATTCATCAGGGTGACAGAAGTTACCCTTTGAGTTAAACCTGAAAAAAAACAGAAGTGATGTTTCATTTGTAAAACAATGTATCAGTATCTTAGTTTTCTTGAAAGCATGTTATGCTCGCATGTTCATCATTTTACACTTAAATCATTTTTTAACAGGTACATTCAAACATTACAACTACAGAATTCAACTTCATGCAAAGGTGGAAGATATCCTGTCTCATGTTATTCTTTCTGACGGCAACACAAATAATAATCAGCGAACCTGGTGCCTTTGGGTAGTTGGAAATTGATAACAGTTTTGGTGGTGAGGTTGAATCGACAAACAGTATCTTGGTTGTAACAGTTGTAGTACAAGGCCTCTCCATACAGCACAACATTTGGACCCTGAATGGTGTTGGTGGTTGGGTTAGCGGTGTGGATCAGGACATTACCTGGAAGAAGAAGAAGAGGAAGAGGGGGAAGAAGAGGAAGAAGAAGCAAGAGTGGAAGGAGCGAATGTAATCACAAGTATTGTTATAATTTGTTAAATATTAAAGAAAGCAACCAATAGTATTTTGGGTGCCTTACATTTATAAATGATAAGTATGGTTGTATTCTGTATTTTTCTATCTATCAATAAATCCCTCATTTTGTTGTTAAAAACATTGCCTACAGTTTGCTAGCTAGCAGTAGTGTACTGGCTATCTGGCTCTGTCTCCTTACCGGCCCTCTATGTGTGCCTGTCATTTAGGATGCTCATGAAAGCCTGCTGCATGCAATTTCCAGTTAAAGTTGTGCTTATGTCATAGGCTCCGCCTTAGCCCACTCCGTTGCTACTGTTGCGGGTGTTAAACGGTGGATAAATTGTTTTGAGCTTCACAACCCCCGCAAAATTACTCGTTAAACCAGGGGTCGGCAACATGCGGGCAACCGCATGCGGCTCTTCAGCCCCTCTGTTGCGGCTCCCTGAGTCTACATCCACACTAATATGTTTTTGTTAAACGATCTCCGTCCACACAGCGTTTCAGCGTCGTTTTCTAAATCAGTGGTCTCCAACCGGGCCGTGGATCATTTGGTACCGGGCCGCAGAGAAATAATACATATTATAATATTTCCGTTTTATTGATTATCAGAGTCTGAAAGAAGTTTTATTATGAAAAATGACCGGATTCTCTCGCAATTTCATCCGCCTGTAAAGGTTGCCGACCCCTGCCTTACACCATCAGAATTTGATCACTTCGGTCCAATAACATTTGCAAAGTCTAGAAAAGCTGCCCTATTGAATTATTCTATCCCCATTCCAGTTACCATAGGGCTAAAGCGAAAGTTAGCTGGTGGAAGTCTCTTGTGCGCATACCCCATTCCCATATGGAATGCATGTTAACATTGTGCTTAATGAGCGTGCAGCAGTAAGACGGCCAACATGCTCTATATACTGTACTTTAACTGCACATATGTAATCAATGTATGATGGGGCGAGGTTTCAGAGCCTCCAGCAGACACAACCCCAGCAGAGTGCTTATTTTTTACGATTCTTAAACCTAACTTTCTTTACCAATTCGTTTGTCATGATATTGGATTTTGCTTTGTTTGTTTCCTGTTTTATTTTGATGTTCCCTGCCTATTGTGTCCTGTGTTTGTTTGACTTCTTGTCTTTGTGTTTTTCCCTCCTTTTTTCTGTGCATGACCTGTGTTTTATTAGTCTCGTCCGCCTCGCTCTGTTCCCTTGTGTTTCTTCCATCTATCAGCTTTCGGCCTGCCCTTGTGTCTGCCCACCTGTGTCGTCTTGTTGTCTGATCAGTTTCTTGTGAATTCATAGTCCTGTTGGTTGTTGGTTCTTCGGCTAAGTTTCCTGTTTGTATCCCTCGAGTAGTTGTCTTATGTACCTAATCCTGTTGATTTCTGTTACTCACTTTTCGACTCACCTGCCATGTAAGTTTGGTTTTGTATGTTTCTTTATTGAAATCATCGTTTATAATCCTTCTACTCTTTGTGTTTGTCTGCATTTGGGCCCATCCCCTGTTGTCTGTTTGCCAAACCGTGACATTTTAAATCATTCAAATTTGCCTGGGTGGTTGATAAACACATATTTCTTCATGCTTTACCCGGACTTGCATTGCAATACAATAGATGTCTCTATTGAACCAGTATGTTCACTGAACTATAAGGAAGTACATTTCTAACTTTAACACAAGAGTTCTTTACCTGGTGCGCTCACTCCAACAATGAGAGAGCTCAGGCTGGAGTAGAAACGGACATAGTTGGAGAATTTATTGCTGGAGGTCATCATTACCAGCCAATACCAGCTCTCCTTCCCCGCCTCTGGTTTTGGATCCCGACCCCAGGCTCCATACTTGTAGGAACCGGGGTACTCTCCTGCTGTGTACACCCTCGGTCCGGTAATGTTCAGAAATTGACCGTGAGGGCAGTTACCTGGGGGGGGGGGGAGCCTAATCAGTTTCTACGGGCAAATTATGCTAAATTGCAAAATGTATCATAAGTGAAATATGCCAAAAAAGCAATTGATACACAACCAGAGTAATATTTTCTGGTGGCCTCCAGTGGAAGTGAAAGAGAAGTAAAAAGAGAAAAAGCGAGGTTTTGGCACATACCATGTGGAGGCTGAATGGGTTTGGTGGTGGGGTAAAGTCCAGACTTGCACTGGTCCAGATCTTTCTTCAGACGCTGGTTGGTTCGTTGTGTGTTCACCACCCGCATGGTGTCGTACGACTCCAGCTCCTGCATCTCTGCTTTCAGGTCCTCCAACTAAGAAGCAGACCAGACATCCCAACATGTGTTTGGATTTTTATTTTGGATTTTTTACAAACATGAACGCCCTGCATGCAGTATTACCTATCATCAGAGATACTGGATTGACTCATACATTGATAAAGAAACATGTCACCAACAATATTTTGAATAATAAATACAATAGACCTGACTGCATAGAAAGACTGGTACAAGTTTGACATTTGAAAAATATTTTGCATGAGTACCTGAGTACACTGTCAGTTAGCAGCCCTGTATAAAGGCGTGAGTGGTTTCATAACTACCTGATGAGCTCAGTGATGCATTCAAAGTCAACAGGGGGGCTTTGCATCAGTATACATCAGTATATTGTCTGGTTCATAAGACCAGACAAGAAGGCTCGGAGCTCCTCCATCATCTGGAGGAGCTCCGTGGATTTTATTTAGGTGTATTCACTGTGTCGAGCAAGCCACACAAATAAGCAAGCCCGGAATCGGGCCAAATACACCGGCCCGAATCCAGCTGCCGACACTGACATTATTGGGATTGCTCGCACATATTCACGAACACACGTACTAACGTACGGTGTATTTGGCCCGATCCGAGGCGTCATTCACCCCGAGTCTCAGCTCCTGTGGGAGTGACTTAATTACACTCTCTCGAAATAGAGAGGCAAAGTCCCTCCCCTTCCAGTGTCCCCCATAGAACCTTATTTTGGAAAAGATATGTATAATAGTCAACGGCTATTGTCAATGTTTGAATTGTGCCATGAATTATACATTTGATGTTTGTCAATTTAAAAGATATTTTTGCAACATATAATTTTGTGTAAAATGGCTCGGTGAACTTTTGTCTCGCACAATGTGCTGACAGACCAGGGTAGTGGTGCTTCATATGTGTGGACATACCCGATGTATTGCCGTTGTCATGTCTTTCTCGTTGAACAATGCCTATGTAATGGTTTTGTCCACCACCCTTTATCCCGACATTTTTAGTAATGTCGTAGGGACACAATCAGCGGTTCACATGTGTGCCGTACCGTGAGGGGTGATCTGTACGAATCTGTCACGGATCGACCACTAGCAGCAAATAAATAATATTTTTTTGGACCGATTAAGGGAAACTGGACATTTTCCCACGACACACCTGACGATCTCTCATGGCACACTGGTGTGCCGCGGCACAGTGGTTGAAAATCACTGAAATACTGTAGATCATAAAGCAGAGTATGCTTCAGGAAGGGCTTACTGTGATTTTTCAAATATTGTAACTTCCGTTCATCATTTGCAAAAAAAACAAATGGCGACAGGGTAATCCAAGATGGCGACGGCCAAATCGACAAACTCGAGGCTTCAAAACGGCCATCCACAAACCAATGGGTAAGGTCACTATGGCTACGTCCACTTATATACAGTCTGTGAGGCAAACACTATCACTAGGAAAAAGCCAGACATCTAATTATGCAACATTGTCATAATTTCTGCAGATTTGCACATTTTGGTCATTCTGTGGGACAGTGCAGTAAAAGTCTTAGAATAATATATTTTAATAATAATAATAATAAATAATAATGTATTTTCATGTTACATTTTTGCTAAAGATACCATAATCCAACCTACACTTTTAGGAGACTTTCACATGGCTGCCTTCTTAAACAATGTCATTGTTGAGCGGCTGACCCGTTGTCGCGATGCAAATCTACCTGTTCAGTAGTGTTGGCAGTCAGACGCTGGTGACTCAGGGTGGCGCTCTTGAGCCTGGCTACGAGCTGGTTGATCTGCATCAGTTCGTTCTCTATCACCTGCAGGCTGATAACCCCGTAGAGCTGTCCGTCGTTCTCCCTCTCAAGCATGGACACATCCTCCTGCAGCTGAGGCAGACGTAGCTCCAGACCCAGCAGCAGACTGTCCAGCTCTGCGACCTGCAGACAGGGCAGCTTGGCTCAACCTTTTATGAATATCTTAATTATTATTATAAGATAGCCGAGGGAGGCTGCGTTCTTTACAGACTACTTGCCTTCTGTGGGGTGATGTCGCTGTTGCATTTCAATGCACTGTCCTCCACCGCAACGAGTTTGTCATGAGGGAATAACTTCTCTGAAGTAGTCAACTCACACGAACACTCACTTGAAGGTGCCTGAATATTAAATGTGGCATGTTAGAAATAAACACTAAATATCAATATATTTTAAATGGGCAGTGCGTGATCATTTGTAATTAAATTTAAAAAAAGTTGTAGTTACCTGTTGGGTGAGGGCGAACAGAGCACACAGTGGGACGATCACATACAGCTTCATGGTGGATCAGAGAGACCCAGTTTGAATAGGACAGTGTGTCTGACTGTAGCAGCAGCTTCTAACCACTGAACAATCCCACTAACCTCTGTGATTTTAGATGTGTGCTCAGTGTGTGATATGTGTCACGTTTCCTACAGAGACGGATCACTTCCTCCTTGTGGTTGGGATTTTTTATATGTCATAGGGGGGAAAAAACTTGAATATCATCAGATTTTACAAAATATATCCTGTTTAAAAGTAATGTGTGAGCAACACAAACAGTGGTGAAACAATTCAATTCAATTCAATTTATTTTTGTATAGCCCAAAATCACAAATTACAAATTTGCCTCAGAGGGCTTTACAATATGTACACATTTGACATCCTCTTGTCCCAGGACCCTCACATCGGAACAGGAAAAACTCCCCCAAAAAACCCCTTTAACGGAGAGAAAAGAGGAAGAAACCTGTGGGAGAGCAATAGAGGAGGGATCCCTCTCCCAGGATGGACAGAAGTGCAATAGATGTCATGTGTAGAACAGGATAGTGAATTACAACACATTCAATGTAATTACAGCACATTCAATGTATGACAGAACCACGGCAGGAGGCAAGACCTGTTCCAGGTATAACCCGGATACACAGGAACCTGTGAGGCGAGAAAGCACAGAGACTCTGGTGAAGAAGCAGGTCAATAATGTGCATTAATGGTATCGGTAATATGAAATAGTAATGCGAGTAATAATAAAAGTGATATTAGCAGTTGGAGTCAGCAGGGCCATGGTAGGAGGAAGGACCAGGGTCCAGATGAAACCATGCTCCATGGAAACCTGTGAGGAGAGAAAGCACAAGGACTCCGGGGAAGAGACAAAATCAGTACTGTGCATTAATGGTATTGGTAATAGGGTTAATAATGAAGATCGTAGTAGGTGTCAGCAGGGCCATGGATGGTTGAAGGACCAGTATCCAGATAAAACTGCGGTCATGGTAACCTGTGAGGCGAGAAAGCACAAATACTCCGGGGAAGAAGTAAAGTTAGTAATGAGCATTAATGAGACATCAATGCATACAGACAGAGGTGAAGAAGAGGAGGAGAGAGGTGCTCAGTGTATCCTAAGGAAGTCCCCCTGTAGTTTTTGCCTATACCAGTTTGTCTAAGGGCCGGTCCAAGGCAAGCCAGAGCCAGCCCTAACTATAAGCACTATCAAAGAGGAAAGTCTTAAGCCTACTCTTAAATGTGGTGAGTGTGTCTGCCCCCCGGACTGAAACGGGAAGATGGTTCCACAAAAGAGGAGCTTGATAACTGAAGGCTCTGGCTCCCATCCTACTCTTTAAGACTCTAAGAACCACAAGTAACCCTGAATTAATGGAGCGCAGCTCTCTAGTAGGGCAGTATGGTACTATAAGCTCTTTAAGATATGATGGTGCCTGACCAATTCGGGCTTTGTAGGTAAGTAAAAGGATTTTAAATTCTATTCTAGATTTTACAGGGAGCCAGTGCAGAGAAGCTAATACAGGAGTAATATGATCTCTTTTCTTAGTTCTTGTTAGTACACGAGCTGCAGCATTCTGGATCAACTGGAGAGATTTAAGAGACTTATTAGAGCAGCCTGGAAATAAGGAATTGCAATAATCTAGTCTAGAGGTAACAAATGCATGATCTAATTTCTCTGCATCGCTTTGAGACAGGATGTGCCTGATTTTTGAAATATTACATAGATGAAAAAAGGCAGCCCTAGAAATTAGTTTTATCTGAGAGTTAAAAGACAAATCCTGATCAAAGGTAATTCCAAGATTCTTTACGGTGCTGCTGGATGCCAGCGCAATGCCATCTAGAGAAACTATATCATTAGATAACTGATTTCGGAGGTGTTCTGGGCCTATTAGAATAACTTCAGTTTTGTCTGAGTTTAACATCAGGAAGTTGCAGGTCATCCAGGTTTTTATGTCCTTAAGACATGCTTGCAGTTTAGCAAGCTGATTGGTTTCATCTGGTTTGATCGATATATATAATTGAGTATCATCTGCATAACAGTGAAAGTTTATAGAGTGTTTTCTGATAATATTGCCTAGAGGAAGCATATATAAGGTGAACAAGATCGGTCCAAGCACAGAACCTTGTGGAACTCCATAATTGACGTCGGTCTTCATCGAGGCTTCATCGTTTACATAAACAAACTGAGATCGATCCGATAAATAGGATCCAAACCAGTTCAGTGTGGTTCCTTTGATGCCAATATAATGTTCAAGTCTCTGCAACAGGATGTAGTGGTCTATAGTGTCGAACGCAGCACTAAGGTCTAACAGGACAAGAACAGAGACTAGTCCTTTGTCTGATGCGATTAGAAGGTCATTAGTTATTTTTACCAGAGCTGTCTCTGTGCTATGATGTTTTCTAAATCCTGACTGAAAATCCTCAAATAAACTATTGTTACGTAGAAAGTCACACAACTGATTCGCAACTGCTTTCTCAAGGATCTTAGAGAGAAAGGGAAGGTTAGAGATCGGTCTATAGTTGGCCAACACCTCTGGATCAAGAGTGGGTTTCTTAAGAAGAGGTTTAATTACAGCTACTTTGAAGGACTGTGGTACATGGCCTGTTAGTAAAGACAGGTTGATCATATCTAATAAAGTCGTGCTAATTAGTGGTAGCACTTCTTTAAACAGCCTAGTCGGTATAGGGTCTAAGAGACAGGTAGAAGGTTTAGACGTAGAAATTGTTGAAGTCAGTTTGTCAAGGTCGATGGGAGTAAAGCCATCTAAACATATATCAGGGTTTACACCTGTTTCTAAGGTTACTCTATTTGTGGAAAGATCGGTACTAGTCGAGGGCAGTACATTGTTTATATTCTCTCTAATAATTATAATCTTATCATTAAAGAAGTTCATGAAGTCATTGCTACTGAGGTCTATAGGGATACTCGGCACAACAGAGCTGTGACTCTCTGTCAGCCTGGCTACAGTGCTGAAGAGAAACCTGGGGTTGTTCTTATTTTTCTCTATTAACGATGAGTAGTAAGCTGCTCTGGCATTACGGAGGGCCTTCTTATACGTTTTAAGACTGTCTCGCCAGACTAACCGAGATTCTTCCAAGTTAGTGGAACGCCATGTTCTTTCAAGTTTTCGCGATGTTTGCTTTAATTTGCAGGTTTCAGGGATACCAAGGAGCGAACCTCCTTTGTTTTACTAACATCTTTTTTAAAGGAGCAATAGAGTCTAGTGTCCTTCTCAGTGAGCTTGTAGCACTATCGACAAGATGATCAATCTGGGTAGGACTAAAGTTAGCACAGGAGTCCTCTGTTATATTGAAGCATGGTATTGAGTTAAATACAGACGGAATCGCTTCTTTAAATTGAGCTACGGCACCATCAGATAGACATCTAGTGTAGTAACTCTTGCTTACCGGTGTACACTCCGTTAGTAGGAATTCAAAGGTTATTAGATAATGGTCCGATAAAAGAGGGTTCTGTGGATAGACTATTAAATCTTCTATGTTAATGCCATAAGTCAGAACCAGGTTGAGAGTGTGGTTAAAACAGTGAGTGGGTTTCTGTACATTCTGACAGAAACGAATCGAATCTAATAATAAGATAAATGCAGTACTGAGGCTATTGTTCTCGACATCCACATGAATATTAAAATCACCTACAATAATTACTTTATCTGTTTTAAGGACTAGACTTGATAAAAACTGAGAAAATTCTGATTAAAATTCAGAATACGGACCTGGGGCCCGGTACACTATAACAAATATAACTGGCTGTATTGTTTTCCAGGTTGGGTGTGAAAGACTAAGAACCAAGCTTTCAAATGAGTTATAATCTAGTTTAGGTTTAGGGTTTAATAATAGGCTTGAATCAAAGATGGCTGCTACTCCACCTCCTCGGCCGGTGCCTCGAGGAATGTGAGTATTGATATGACTTGTAGGAGTTGATTCATTTAGGCTGACATATTCTTCATTTCACAGCCAGGTTTCAGTAAGACAAAATAAATCAATATGATTATCTGATATTAGCTCATTTACTAATACAGCTTTAGATGACAAAGATCTGATATTTAAGAGTCCACATTTAATTATCCTATTTTGTTGCACTGTTGCGGTAGTTTTAACTTGGATTAGGTTATTTTGTTTAACTCCTCGATCGTTTATTTTTGATTTAATTAATTGAAGTGGCCGTGGGGCAGACACAGTCTCTATGTGGTTTTGGGTGGGTAACTGCTCTAATGGAAGCTCAGAGGAGTGTGTAAGACTGCAACTCTGCTTCCTGGTCTGAACTCTGGGTTGTCATGGACCAGGTCCACACAGAAACTGGGTCAGATTTGCAGAAATGAGATCTGCTCCATCCAAAGTGGGATGAATGCCGTCCCTCCTAAGCAAACCAGGTTTTCCCCAGAAAGTGTCCCAGTTGTCTACGAAGCCCACATTGTTTGCTGGGCACCACCAAGACAGCCAGCGGTGAAACGATGACATGCGGCTAAACATTTCATCATTGGTCAGATTCGGGAGGGGGCCAGAGAAGACTACGGAGTCCGACATGGCTTTTGCGTATGTACACACAGATTCCACATTAACTTTAGTGATCTCAGAGAGCCGTAGTCGGGTGTCATTACCGCCAACATGAATAACAATCTTACTGTATTTACGGTTATCTTTAGCCAGTACTTTCAGATAGGACTCAATGTCGCCTGCTCTGGCCCCGGGTATACATGTAACTGTAGCCTCTGGTTTCGCTAGCTTCACGTTTCTCAGAATAGAGCTACCTATGACCAGAGTCGGTCTCTCAACTGAGAAATCAACTCTGCTGGGTGCGGAAGACCCGTTTGTAACGCGAGGTGGCTGCTGGCGAGTCGAGTGCCTCCCGGGAGCAGTCACCCGGCCCCCCGGCTGCTCGGGGGCTGCAGGGAGACGGCTAGCGGGAGCCACGTCTGCTTGGGCCGCACCGGCTACGCCCGCAGTCACCAGCGTCTTAGCTTCCATGATGCGGAGCTGTACTTCTATCTCGCTAAGCCTTGCATCTAACCGTTGAGTTACCTCAGTCTGCGCCAACGAGTAGGGGCGAAGGGTAGAGGAAGCCCGGGAGGGAGTATTCTCCGTCAGGACTGCGAAGCGGTTGGAGGTGTTTAACGGAAGCTCCCCAGCTGTTTTTTTCCGGAGGCCGCGGCGTACCACCTCCGTCCAGGATGCCGGTTTCGTGGTGGAGCTATGGGTCGGGTCTATAGCAGGTCCTCTCAGCTCGTGGTCGGAGGACCGACTCTCCTCCCCGTCCGCAGGGCCGGGTAGCCAGGGAATAGTGTCCGCAGTGTCCGAGACAAGCTGAGATTGCATAGATGAGATATACTTTGCCTGGGCCGCCGCTACGGATACGAATCCGTCGATCAGCTGTTCCCTTTTCCGGACTTCAGACTCTAGGCGGTGAAAATCGTCCCTTAACTGTGAGTATGCGAGTTTGCAATCTCCACACAGACCTGGCTGAATGGCCATTTTGGAAGTTCCTGCTTCCGGTTTATCTGAAATGAGAGGGAAAAGGTGATGGCTCTGCTCAGAAGTTGTCATAAAAACAAACAAACAAATGTATGTAGCAGAAGTCGGAAGGCGAGTGAAAGGCGTAAAGGTGTGTGTGATCCGATGGCCTCCACGCTGTCTCAGCTGCAGTTCACACCACACTACAGGCTGGTGATGTGCTGCTCTGTCGCTGCTGCTCTGTGCTCTGTCGCTGCTGCTCTGTGCTCTGTCACAAGTATTCACACCCTTTACCTGAGTGGAACAATAAGCACAGAATGAATGATTTAAATGTCGGGTATAGGCAGTTTATTTTTGCTGTCATCGGGCAACAATTCAATAAAAACTTTTCAGCATAACGTAATTTACCCAGTGGTGGGCCTTCTCTGCTGGCCTAAACAGAATCACAAAGTTATAGCTATTTTATAAATTAATATTTTTTCATAAATACACTACATGTATTATAATTATTTTTCCCATTAGCTTATTTTCTCATTGAACAGCTACTGTCTTCCTCAGTTGCTCTGCTTCCAGCCTGTTTTAAGTAGAGCTTTTATCCAATCAGATTTCACCCCTATGCTGTCTAGGTAAAGAAATCTGCCCGAGGCCTTCAGAATTACAAGTGAATCCCTTTGCATCCCATGTTTAAGTATATGGGGACGATATTGTTGATTGTCATAGTCTTCAACCAATCAGATCTTTAGTTTGACATGTTGGGCGTATTCTTTGACGTGCCAGAGCCTTCTAGCTGGCCTACAAGTACGTCATCATTAACGTGCAGCTCAGCATTGCAGCGCTGTGATTGGTCAGTGGGCGAGGATGTGACTATTGTGAACCTTAAGGTGGAAACTTAGTGGTAGTAGTAAGAGTTCAAGGTGAAAGATATGTAAGAAGTCATGACATTTTTAGCGTTTTGCTTGGTGTATATTCTTTTTTTTTTTAACCTAGCTTTGTTTTTTTAACACTCAATGGCTGAAGGAGGAGGAGAAACGGATTTGGGAGTTACTGAGAACGCCTTTCTGGAGGAGGACATTTCAGGAAAAGCTGGACATTGTATCAAAGGGTCGCCAACCCCACAGCTAACAGCCCTGACCCAGCCAGGAAAAGGATTTGTACGAACAGTATTCCTTGCTGACAGCGTCGGAGAAGCGTTGCACATTTTATGGCTGGGAATGCGTTTCATTTTTAACTGAGCGTCTTGGTGTTTGGAGCTACGCTAACCTGAGGACACCATCGCACGGCAGGACACTTACAAGCTACGGTGCTTTTGAAAACTTTTGCTGAGACCCGAGTGGCTCTACAACTCAACGAACACGTTCGCAGGAGGACCTCGTACTGGAACTGAACTGCTCCGATGTTCTGTACAACCGCGTCATTGAACTCTTTGTTCACAAAGAAAGGAGGATGGACTTCGTCTTTAAGTGAACGGCAGCTTTGGTAAGTGAACTGCTTTTGTTTATACATCTGCAGTAGCATTACTACTGTGTTAATTTGTCTATCGTGTCGTTTTTATGAATAATATTTGAATGACTCGTGCTCTTCAGTGTGCGGTGGAATACCTGTTTTAGCACCGCAGGTTTGCTGGATTGATTTGTCATGCTTTGTTGTCATATGAATATATGTGACTGGTTCTTGTGAGTTTGTTCTTGTCATTGTGTTAATTACATTGATTTTGACTTTATGCATTGTCCGTTAATTACGAAGCATACCGTCATGCACCGGGTTATTGTGTCACGGTTGGGTTTTGCTGTGTGTGTCTCTCCTGATCATGCTCATTCTCTCCACCTTTGCCAAATCACCTGCCCCTGGCTTTTCCCTCTGCAAACCCCACTCATCTCCACTCACCTGCCGGCAATCCGCTCATCACCCCTCACATACTTATACTCCCCTGCTTGCCCTGTTCCAGTGCCGGATTATCAATTGTTCTTTTTTCCTCCCCGTGGACTCGGCTCATCGCCAGTGGTTACCCCTCATGTTGACTCCCATGGTTTGTGTCTTTGCCTTTTGTGACCAAGCCCCTTTTGTGACTTTGCTTTTTATTTTCAGTTTGGATTTTTCGTGCTGCCGGTTGGAGTTGTTTTTGGTTTCTGTTTTTGACTGCTTAAGTGCCAGTAAAGAGCCTTGCATTTCACCTCACCTTGTGTCCTGTGTCTAAGTTTGCACCTGAGTCTCTGCTCCACTCCTAAACCCACACGGTAAACCGTGAACCATCACCTATTGTTCGGACAATTGGATCGGTTTGGGCTGTTTTTCTTTTACAAAGCAAGAATTATGGTCTGGAGAAATGGGGATTGTGTGGCGATTGCTTTAGCCCTGTTTGAATCAGTAGGGAACAGCTGAGGGGAGAGTTCGTAGCTTGTGTGCTGCTGTTGGTTTCGTGCTAAGGTAGTTTAGCTTTGCCTCCCTGAACACACGTGCGGTGCCTCAGCTCTTTTTTGTTATTGTTCTGGGTTCAAAAGGTCACACAGCCTGTTGTCTGTTACGTGAGCGCAGTCCACCGAAAACATATTTTCCAAATGCACTAGTATTGTTCGGTTCGTAAGCCTCGTACTCATCGTAAGCCTCGTACTCCTCCACCACCAATGACTCTGGGCAATGTCCAGCATCTCACCTACAAACCCTTCCATGCCCCCCATAATGCTTCTACCTCTCCAACTCTTTACCCTGTCTCAGAATATCCCATCTCAGACACGGGTCTGCTCACCCCAATATGGAGGACCACATTCGTTAACCAATTGCACAATAAAAATAGGCATTATTGAATCGGTTTAATCTACAAATAAATAAACTACATTACAATGTATGGAATTGTTATACAAAGAGGAATTATTAAAAATAATTATATAATATTTATCCATCAATAAATAGTTCAAATTAAGGAGTTTGCAAAACGAAATAGAACAAAGATGCATTTATCAATAAATAACGGAATTGTAATAATCTAGTTGGTAATTAAGTTGAAATATAGAAACAAATAACTGGATTCATAAATTGAATTAAGATTACAGATTTTAATCAGGCACTGCACTGCATTCCCATTTCCCTGCTACTTGTACTCCCTCCATTAGCTACCGGATCTGCTCATTTTGTTTCTTCTTTCGGCCTCTCCAGTTAGGCTCTCTATGACACTTTTTGCCTTACGCTGGTAAAAAAAAAAA